GGCAAGGATTTCATTCCAGGTTGCGGCAAGGATTTCATTTCAGGTTTCGGCAAGAGAGACACAAATATATATAAAACTACTTTCAAGTGGGCTGTGACCACAAACCTCATTCAACAATTTTTAGCATTTGGTTGATTTTTGTTTTCAAGAAAGGGAAAAGGTTAAACTGCTCTTCAAAGGCTCTTCTTATATAACTCGTTAAATCTCCTACAACAAGCCATGGTGTATACACAATGGCAAAAAAGCTGGAAGGTGTCAGAATATACATAGAAGAGATTTCTTTGCAACTGAGCTGGCTTGCAAAAGACAAATCTGATCCATGTTTAAAGCAAAGAACTTGAATAAGAAATGTGATGTGATAAAAGGGCATCGGTACCACCTCAAATCTCAGTACAACATCCACTTGAAATTAACAGCCCTTTTTCCTGCAGCCATGTAACTTTTGTCCAGTAACCTAAGGAGTTATGGTTGAGTCACTTTTTTAAATGGCTCAAGGAATATAATCCAAATGACTGAGTCACCATAACTCAATCTATTTGCCACTGAACTTTGGAAGTTCTCCCTCAACATCAGTTACAAATAACCACTCCCATAAAACACAAGATTTCCAATGAATTCTTTTCCATGCGTCTGGTTTCCTGCCTTCACTGTACTCACCATGTCACAAACGCCTGATCCCTCCATGGTGCCATTGGTGTAGCAAGCGCACAGCCTGCACACATCAGGAGAATCAAGGGGCGCAGTGACCTCCCTGTAGTACCCTGTCTGGCACCGGTCACAGTGACGCCCCTCGGTGTTATGCTGGCAGTCAATGCACACCCCACCCCCACCCCTGTAAAAAAGAGCACGACTTACAGATAAGGCCTATGAATTGAAGATGTGCTTTGTTTACATGTGCATTTTGCTATGAAGCCAGGGGGCCATGGTCCACTGAGCACCATAGGAAAGCACACGTAAACAGAGTGTGGCATCATCAGAATAGAGGTCCACTGAGAATGTGGGGAACAAGACACAAAGAGTAACAATAGGGGTCCTGCGAGTCTACATTCCACAGAAATCGTGGTACCCAGCATACAAATATGCTATGAAGTTTAAGAAGTTTAGGAAATTCAATAAAAAAGGGCAATCAAGGTTTCAAAAAGCTGTATACCATAACTCTCGTATGTTACAGGCGTGAAAATTTTTCACTTTAAAAGAACTGATAAAGACGGAACTGTGTTAAAGACAGAGAGAAGGTTATCACTCCCACATGGCACAACAGAGTAAATTGGACGTAACTAGTTCACAGATGATTACTGCTCTAGAAAACAAAGTTGTTAAGTACATGCAAACTTCTCGTGCTGCATGATGGCTGCATGAAATGTAGCATGCAGGCATGAAAACCAGAGTCTCAGATATTGGAGATTTCAGAGAGTTGACCTCTTCAGGGCTACCTGCATGCATTTGCCATTTCACTACTCCAATGGACCCAACTTCAACTTGACTTGCAGAGAGAGACACTGACAAGCAAAACGTTACCTGGAGTGGTCATCTGGGAAGGGGTCCACAGTGGCATTGTAGTCACACCTGTCGGCGTGGTTGTAGCAGGTGCACGGTTTGCATGCGTAGGCAGCCTCCTGATCACCGTGACGGAACGGCTTGTCGTTGTACAGCGGAAGGCACGAGTCGCACTGCAAAGAGTGGGCCAACCATGGGAGTGCTCGAAGTGGTAAAATGGTTACCATCTCTTTGGCTTTCATTACTATGACATTACGTTTCCTTTAGATCAAAGTGCTATAGGAACATGGAATTCTGGGAGAATACATGGGCGATACTAGTTTTCAAAACCCCCTTTTGGTCCACCAAAATATCAGAGAAAAAAAAAAAAGATAAGCCTCTTGTCAGCTGGCCACTCGTAAAGCCAAACGGAAGTTTCTTACAGACACTGTGATTTCTTTTCACAAATAAATACTAGATATTCAAAACATTCTGTATATTATGTTCAAACTGTCTTTATAAAGACCACTATTATGAGAATATATTTGAATACGGCAAAAACGATACTGACTTTTGTCAAAACAGTTTTATCCTGAATTACTAGGTAAGAATAACTTAAAACTATCAAATTCTGTTTATTGTAAATATACATTAGAGGTGTTTTGGATCTTACATGATCACCCATTGTGTTATGCAGGCAGACACACTGGTAGGGTGTTACACTCAAGTCACATTCCATTGCATGGCCACTGCAGTCACATCTGTGAAGACAACCATGGCACAAACAATGTAGACAATGACGCTAACTGACGTTGACAGAGCTTGTGTCAGTCTTACTAAACAAAAGGACCATGCCAGTGTTGTAGTCGAGACAGTACTCTTGTATTCCAAGCATTACTCCACGGTTGAAATATAAGATACTTGACCAATACAACCCTTGAACCGTGCCTCCTGCCTACCTTGCACTGACGGTCAACTCCTCAATGCCGTAGTACGCATGTCGCCGGTTGGTGATATGGTAGTGATTCTGCAGGTGGACCCGGATCTGGGTGGCCCGGACAAACTCCAGCAGGGCTGGGGTGTTGTAGAAATCGTTGTAGCCTGGTCTGGCAATGGGCTCGGGGGACAGGAGCTGGAAGGTGATGTTCCCCTTGGAGTAGGGGATAGGTGGGTCCCTTGGAGAGAAAGAAAAGAAAACGAGAGATGTAGACCTATATCATATGGCTTTTTATGCATATAAATGGCCAAAGTTTCCAGAAATATCACCCTCCAAGGTGGCGGTATTTCCCTTGGAGTACAAAACAGGTGGATCTCTTTGGAAGAAACACACAATAAATAGTGATATAAACCCATCTTGTATTGTCTACCATTCTCAGGGGCGGGCCAAATTTGTAGAAATATCACCCTCAGTCAGCACTGGATTTCACCTCAATATCTTCATTTGCCATGTTTCTTTTTCAGAGGTGTTTATTACATTTAGTATTTAGAAGTGGTATTTATTCTCTTGGTGTTTTGATAGCATGAGATTTGTAAACCTGAGGATCTTAGTCTGTTGCTTCTGACCTAAAAGCCAGCCATGAAATGCCAGCCAAAAAAATAGAACTGCAACACCGAACGAGTTTAAAAGAAAGAGTTGAAACATTTGATGCAATTTTTTTCTTTAAGTTGTGAATGCAATATTATTTTCCTAAAGTTCTTAGGGCTTCATCAGTTGTGTCTGGGAAAGAAAAGCCTTTTTCTCAAATTCTGGCCTCATTTCAAACACTGGATTCCTCCATAGCACCAAAGGACACCAATCTTTGGTATCAAGTTACAATGCACCACAATCTCAAAAATTGAGGATCTTCAAAAATCACGTCCCCAAGTCTGAAATCACAGTGTGATTTCGGAAATGGCTCAAGTTCTGAAGTGACAACCTACGTCGGAAACTCCAGGCAGTTGATCGAGGTGGGCAGCGGCAGGGGTCCATTGTTGGGCATGCCAAATGCAGTGGTGCAGTTATCTGCGTAGTACTGCCAGACTTCCCAGTCTGCCGTGTCGTTGGCTCGGCGGGATATCGTGACCGCCCTGGGCTGGGGGCTGTAGAACTGCAGGACCACGTAGAAAACCTGCAAGGATGGAAGAAACGGGTGTTAAAAGATTTGGTACAAATATCCCAAAAGCATCTTGTGAATTTCAAGGAGTCAAATCTAATGCACAGCTTTTTTGTAACACTGCACGGAGGACTTGAATCCACCACGGTAAAATAAAATTTCTGTATGCTGGACTGGGTGATGTTAAAATACTCATCCCTATGATGCAGTGATTCCAGGTACTCTTTTCAAAAATAGAGACTCAAACTAATCCATGGAGGTTGCGCATGGATGGCACATAAACCTCTGGTGTCTGTGTTCTGCAGCAAGGTGATGCTGCAAATATTACTCGGCGACTTTGCCTTGAAGTTTGAAAAGATGAGGACATATCAAGAAATGTTGCATAAATCTGGAGACAACCCACAAGAATCATCCGTTTGTCAAGTTAGTGAAAAACCCGAACAATAGTTGGAATTTTCAGCCAAAAATAATCCGGTGCAACAAGTCCGCCACAAAAGCAATACCTAATTAATAACACAATTTGATTTTCAAACCCTTGACATACCTGGAATTCTCCGCTGACAAGATCGACGAACAGCATGATGTCATCGGTGAATGTGGAGACCCAGCTGCTTCCCACATCCCCGTCATTGGCAAACTCCAGAGGGTAGGCGTCCAACCGCAGACGATACTGCCTGTCAATGGTGGTGTCAGGGTCACCGTTCCTCAGACAGAACCTGCACAGGACATAAACAAATATGCAAAGTTTGTGTAGATTCTATGAAAACATTTCCAGGTGACAAAAATGCTGTCAAGCGTAAAACACACACCAACAGAACCATATCGCCACATGTAACCCACAGCGTGGGTTTTGATAGCTTGCACATTTGTGGATGTAGTTCCATAAATAGCTCCCTAGCACAGTGACAACCCGTGTGGATTCATTTGAATTCATTCAATGGTGTTATTTTACAGGTAAACCCTTACCTGAGATAAATTTAATATCCACTGCATTTTGGAGATATTGAGAGTTGAGGAAGGCAGAGCCCTGCCACCATTACTTGAAAAGGACGCTTCATGAAATCTCAAGTCATAAAAAAAACATGTCCTCCTAACAACAGAAGATTGGCAGAATCTGAGGAGCTTGAAACCCCCCCCCCAAAAAAACGAAAGGCTGGGGGTTTGGGGAATAATGGGCTTAGCTGTAGATTCAAGAGGATCATAATGTTCACTATAAACAAATGGGTTGAACCAAAATGTGACCTGTCATCACAAAATGAGCTGAAAGTCAGAATTTAAAAAAATTCAGATATTGGTATTGTTAAATTCAGCGAGAACGAGAGCTTTCCAATGGTATGTACAATACATGGAATACTTAGGGTGAAGGTGTAAGGAAACAATGTGACATTATTCTGGCAGCTTTGCATCTTTGTTTCCGACACGGTTTCAACATTTCTGACAAGGCACAAATAATGCTATTGTCAAAATTGCTGAGAAAATGACATTTTTAAGTATGTGATTCTACAAATACTTGGAATTAAATAGGAGACAGGTTACTCTTTCCAAAACTCCAAAATTGACCTCTACTTCAATATAACTTCGAACCCTCAAAACAAGAAAGAAAGGGATGCTACTTTACTCTCCTTTTGCCGTGACAGGTCACAAATGCTTTCACTTTCATGGTCTTCTTGATGATGACTGTAACACTGAGATAACGCTTTCATACTCCCATTTATGTACCAGGAAGAATTCCATCCCAAGAACTCAGCTGTCAAAAGCCCAATCTTTTTGCATCTTTCTTTACATGTAACTGCATCAATAATGGGTACATCGGTGAAATTCCACATTAATCCGACATAGAGGTTTTGTAATTGGTCATTTGAAGTTCATGGGCCCAAGTGTACAGGCCCGGATGCATTAAGCATGTCAATGGGAAAAGTTGGCACTTTCCCCTGACCTGTCTCAGAGAAATGGGCACTGAGCACTGCATGAGAGCAGTGTGTTCGATTCATTACACAATTGAAGCCAAAGTGACTGCGAGCATTACTGAAAAACTCCTGAAGGCTTGACAGATAGAAAAATGCATTGAAACAACGCTAGAGAAACAGTTGAGGGAGTGTGGATTCTACCCCTCCCTCCCCTGGCAGGGTTGACAGAGCAACAAAGAACAAAATGGTAATTGAATATGTAACCAAGGCTACACAAACACCCGACAGTAAATGAAACACTTGGTTCATCTAAATCATGGTAAATGGGGACGAAAAATTGCGTTGTGTTTTGCTCCTCACCTATCGTCCAGGGGGTTGACCCGAGGATGGGAGTCAGGACAGCGACAATCAGACTGAGCATGGACCTCTGGGAAGGATCCCGTGGCCAACTCAACAATCTCTCGGTTGGTCAGCGTCTCTGCATAAATGTAGAAATCCTGCATTCGCCCGGGATATTGGTCACCACCTGAGCACAAGAAAAGCTAAGTTTTAAGTGCTGCTTTTTATTATTATAGGTGCCTAGAGGTACACATAACTGGGTAACATTCTGCTTTGCTGTCTGGAAGTTTTGCCTCTTAAAAATGGTTTAGTATTGCTGTTGGAGGTGCCGTCTTGGCACATATTACTATCAGTGTGACTTTAGGTACAAGGTTGTAGTTACAAGGTACAAGGTTGTGGTACTGCGTATATTCTTGTGTGTTCCTGCAAGATGTACCATGGGATACAGTGAATCACTGTAATACAATCGCTGTTGTTGCTAACAACATTTATCAATGTTCGTCTGTTCTTCTTTCTCATCTATATGTATGCCTTTTTGCCATGATGTCAGCAGAGATGCCATCAGCTCGCCTTCAACGAAGATGTTTCTCTCTTGTCTTAAAGACCAAGTCAAAAAGCAGATTTTAAAAACAGGACAGCACAAGCACAAAGAAAAACTACACAATATGCTGCGTAAAAAAAATAAATAGTTTGCAAATTCCCCACCACAATAGGAAGAGAGCCACAGTTTTAGAATGTTACAAGTGCCAAAACTGGACATCTTACTAGGAAATGTCTTTGGAAATATTAACAAAAATATGGCACTTTCCAACAATAACTTGCCTAAGTTGAATTTGTTCAACCAAACACTTTATTAGTCATGAAATGTATCGTTCTGCAATTTGGCGTAACACTGTTCCCTTGCACTCATATAATCTGTGACCATAGTATAACAAAACAATTGCTGCCTCCTGTCATGGGGTTTTTATACACCCTCTAGGACAAACGCCATCCATGGCATACATGTAATGTAATTATCTATTCACTTTTATACCTAAACAGCTTTTGTAATCAACAACTGATATTGGGATTCATTTCATATAATGCTGCATCACTGACAAACACATTTCCTACAATTTGAATTTCAATTGAATGGTTTCAACCAACTTTTTAATATCTCTCTCAACATACATGACATGCACGTAGCCATTTCAATGGCATATTTTTTTCACAAATAATGCACTGCAAGCACAGCGTTAGCCAACAAGTGAAATCTATATATTAATTTGTGACCACCTGTTGCAGAAGCAGAGTCAATAGTAATTACTTTTTCAGATGGTAATTTTCTGTGGGCTACAAACTCAATTATTTCTGGGTGTGTCTCTTAACAGGCAAGTGATCATGTGATGTGGAATCAAGATACATGGGAATAATGTGTGAGACAAAAGTGAGTTTCAAGTTTACTGATATTTATCATGATCTCACTGTTTTCCAAATTTATTCTGAAGCAAGCGAAATATTAACCTATAAAGTTGAAATGGACTCTTATGGCTCACATCAGAAATCAGTCACAAATTGAATATTCATGAAATACAGTTTCAGCCCCTTTGCAAAACAATATTGTTTACAAGAGTTTAAATAATGCACGCATAATATTAATAATTATAATAGTCATTGTAAACTTGGACGAGACTTCAGAACAAAGCATTTCTCCTTGCTGAAATAGACAAGACCATTTGAGTCCAAACACTATAGTAAAACAGCGACCCACTCAGTTTGCAAAATTCCCAACACAGCCATTTCAACCAAGCACGAGCTTGCCTGCCGACAAAATCAGCCTTCACACATTGGTGGACTCGTTGGAGGGGGAGGGAAACAGGGCTACAGCCCCCATCCAAAAAACAGAGTGTTGAAAATAATGAGAAAAGGAGGATTTTTTTCCCTTCCTTCCCAGATTATTTAAACAATGCACAAGTTTTGACTAACAACTTTTGACTAACACACGAACCCCCCTAAATTTTCCCCCCCCCAAAAAAAACTTGGTTCAGGATCCACCCAGACCTACATACCTGTCAGTCTCTGTCCAACTCTAGTCTGTGCATTACTCTCATCGTACATCTGTCCCTGCAGTGTCTGGGTTTCCAGGGCTGTGCCATCTGCAGCCAAGCCGTTGATGAAAAAACTGACTTTCCTGTCATATACCTTAAAGCAGAGAAAAGAAACATTTCCATACATGTAAACCGAACAGCCAAGTCACTTCGAGAGAATGAACAACTTTGATGGAATAGAAATAATTTATTTTGCCTCAACTTTCATCTTGATCTGCTTTTTCAAACATCATATCAATAACATTACGCCTACAAAGTTTGAAGCCCCCCCCCCAAAAAAAATCTGCAAATCTATAACCAGAGAGATAAAACGTATGGCCAATAGGTGAAACAAATCCCTGGTCAATAAAAAATTCTCCTCCCCCCCCCGATGGGTTGCCAGTCAATTACAAGGTGTTTCTAAAGCAATGCTGGTACCCATTTATACTCTTGGGTGGAGAGAGGCAACATGGGATGATGAAATGATTTGCCCATGGCCAAAACTTATGGTCAGAAGCTGGATTCGAACCTCTGACCCTGTTGCAAACTGTAATGATAAATTACTTCTCCTGTCAATTAAAAAGATGCAAGAATAAAGTATCAACTGGCTCTTCCAAAAAGTCCAACTGACTTTTGCATCGTTCAGAAATTTCTTGCAAATGTTCATTCAAAACTCTACAAAGTTTAAATGATGTACTGTACACTATCGATTGGGGAAAAATTTCTTCACAAAAATGGAAATTTCTAAAATGTATTCCATTTCTTCATTCGTCATCAAATGATACTCAACCTGAACAGCCAGGTGTGTCCACTGCACTGGAGAGATATTTGTCTGTGCACTGATCAGATATGCAGAGCTTGGACTGGTCCTGTACTCGAAAATCACACTGGTCCGAGACACCAGAAGTGTATATATGATTCTGCCTGTTAGGCTGGACCGCTTCTCCAATAAAGTGCTATGATCAAGGAAACAGATAAAACATGAGTTTTTGCCCACAATAAAGATGTAAGGGAAAGAGTTCTGTATATAAACATCCGTTGACACCCTGCATACAAACTCTATGAGACTGGTCTGAAAACTTTAAAGAATATTTCAAGTAAACACTTTAATATTTTCCATGTTAAATGTGACATTTTAGGACATATTATAAATTACTTCCCGATAGCTCATATACGAGTACAACTTTAGGGAAATATTAGTAATGTCCGTGTATGGAACTCTTGGTGCAAGAAAAACTGCTCTTTCCTAATGTTATCATTATATTTGTTCTTCAAATTTAATTTTTCAATAAGGGCCTCCTCATCGATTTCATTCATCATTAGGCCTATCTGGAAAAGAATGTTGCATTTAGAAACCACATTTGGTTGTGTACAAAGCCTATATAAAAAGTCATTATTTCTTTTGGAGGGGTGGTATTCTCTGACAAACTGGAGAGAGTTCCACATACATGTACCGACAACATCTGAAGTGTTTTTTAAGTACAGGCTTCAGAATTTTCTTTTTCCACTTTTTAGGACAAGTTGTCACCTTATGATGGCTGTTATAACATTTTAAGTGAAAATTAATGTTGTCCGCATGTAAAACTCTTACCATTTCTTGATATTAAATTTATTTTTCATGGAAGTGTGGCACGAAGATGAACCCTGTGTAATTTTCGGAGTAAAATCTTACAATGTAAGATGTTATACAAAATGCATTTAAAAAACTCATATAGTTTTAATTTATTTTTGTTGTTGTTTTTTTCTCAATTTTTTGTTGTTTGGTTTGCTGGCAGTTTGATTTTGTTCGTATGGTTCATTTTGGTTGTTCACTGTTTTTTAATATCCAAACTCACCCTTCCCGTGTTGAGTTTAAAGATGAATCTGGTTTCAACCAAAGAGAAACAGTAAATCTTCCATTGCCCCCAACAGTTGGCACAACTCCAGGAGAAATGAAACAACCAGCATCAAAAATATGCGATGTGGCTCCAACTGCTGAAAAGGGCCGTACATCCAGGGAATCTCGCCTGATACAAGGGGAAGTAGGTGACAAAATCGGGGTGGGAGCTGGCGAACTAGTCCTGCTAGGACATCCCTGGGAGCAAATAGCCTGATTGCACGTCGTCACCGAAGAAGCTAGAGTTGAGCTGCGGCAAAACGCCGTGGTGATCAGCTCACCCGTCGACGGGTTGAACCCGCAGGTGCCGATGGGCGGCGCGGTGGAGATCGGCTTCCGCTCGGCGGCGTTGATCAACTGCGGAAAGACGCCCGGTCCTTGACAAACGGCGGGATTCAGATGGCTCAAAAACGCGATTAAGAAAATTACAGCACCAGTTTGTGCAAATCGAGGTCTCTTATTCCTCCACTCATATACAGCCATGGCTAGCAAACCTATCAGTATCACAGGCGTCCCTTAAGTGCGACACAAACTTTCACTTTCGTAGATTTCGAATCTTTATTAAACCGTGCCTATGGAAGTCGCCATTTTGTTTTCGTAACCGTAGCCACCACGCACGGCGTCCGTTGCAACCAATGGCGTCCCTTAATCCTCGTCGCGAAGCACTAGTGGTGGTGTCAAATTTCTCTTGCGGTTGCCCTTTTGTTCACTCGCGTTGTTTCACTGCTTCGTTGTTTTTGTCTAAAGAGAAAGCCCAAAATAAAGGAACTGGGTTTACATGCTCCCTTCTTCGGTGCAAAACCATGCATAAAAAAACACCATGGTGTCTAACTGCTGATTATATGTTCATTGTTTTATTGCCATGAATCTTCAATGCACGATTAAAAAAAAATGCTGTGTAATATCATTCTAAACCTACCTGTTGTTCAACATCAATCTCTTCAACTCAAAATAATCGTTTGTCAAGCACGACAAGCACCACATCTGATACCATGAACTGCCGACGACTCTGGAATTTCACTTTTCGGCTCAGTTGCGTTTGAACTCAGACCTTTATGTATTGTTATGATAATTTCAGGGGTGATTCAAGCGGTGCCAATGTATGCCGGCCCACCCTGCCGATACTGTTACTGCTGTTACCCCCCTCGTATATTGTATAAATCGCACACATATCCAGCAGGGGTAATTTGTTTTCTTGTAGGAGCATAAGTGGAATATTATTCGTTTTAATTAATTGATTAGCAGCACACCTGCAGAAACATCGTTTTCCTTTGGTACTAACTTAACGGCAAGACAATTCTGTCGATGGAGATTTTTTTTTTCAATATAAATCGCAAAAAGTATATTTCTTCCCCTACTGTAGGCCTACCTGTGTTTTCCTGGTCGGACATTATTCGCATGTTAATGCAGCGACGTATGCAAATCCGTGAGTCCCTAAAGTAAAAACAAAATTTTCTACTATTCCCCAGCAATACGATAGGCGTGGATGTCTTACTATATCAAATTCATATGTTGATTTCAAAGTTAAATTCACTTATGACATTCACAGCATTTGCTACAGTGCAGTGTAATCAATATGCCACCTGGGTTCACACGTTTTCATGTACCAACTGTACATTCCACTTATAATGAATACATCCCTGTACAAACCTTCCCAGTATCTACACGATATATTTGTTCAGCCAGTTATTCTAAAATAAGAGCATTGAAATTTCCCATCCTATGACGCCATATTTCTTTATATCACCTAAATGAGGGTCGGTAACTGCGAAAAAGACACACATCTCCAAGTATTTCGGCCAAATGTTATCAACACGTTGTAGACTTTGCAACTCTTTACAGCGAAGTGATATCAGGATAAGACGTTCTTTTCCCAGTTTGGACTGAGTCCACGGTGGGCTTGGATTAATCTTGATCGGGTATGATTAATCTTGATCGGACATGATTAATCTTGATAGGGCATGAGTAATCTTGATCGGGCATGAATAATCTTGATCACCTCAGCTTTAAAGTTCTCGCCCGCTTGTCAAATGGATAATGAAAAGTCAAACCGTTCTCTTTGTCACCGTCGATGCCTTACCCCCATGGTGGAAATGCATACATGGGGTTTCTGAAACCACACAAGAATTTCTGCCTAGTTTCGTGAGAAGATTCCTTCTCAATTGAAACTGACCTGGCTATTGGAAGTAGGCCTACATAGTTTGATCGTTCGTTGAACAAAACTTATCCTTTTCCCACTTCAAAATTATAACTTGCTCGTAACAAGATAAAAGACCCGTCCCGCTGTTTGGTACTACGCCCTCTGTCTGATACCGGGCAAGCCTTACATTCATTTGAATTAAGGAAGCATTCAGGTGCCTTTCCATATGCACTTCAACACTTACGCCAAGCGTTCCATCCGTCAAAATCGCTCCCAATTCGATTTTGACGGCCGAACGCAACGCACACGTGTGTTGTTATTGGCGTTGACATTAAACGCATCGTGTAGGTAACGCACCCAAAAAAGGTACATAATGGAAAGCCGCCTTTAGTGTTTAGGGGGAGACGCGTGTCTAGGAGTTGTCTTTGCCAGGTGTGTGCGAGTGAGGAGAGACAGGGGCTGGGAAGCCGAGTGGTGTATCCAGATTTTTGGTCGAGGGGAGGGAGAGATTAGGGTTTCTTTTAACGAAGGTCCAAATTTTATTTCGCCCGTAGAAGAATCCACCTCACCCACCACCACCCCGAAAAGTGATACATGTACCGCTAGTACTATTTCGAAAGGCTCAGTGCTATTGTTTCTATCCCTGGACATGCCACTGGATGAGCCAAATTTTTTAAGAATAGGCAATATAGTTTTATAATGTAGGTAAGAAGGAATTTAGGGCAAGGCACGTGGTTCAAAACATTGGTGGTGCATGGTTGGGTGCATACAACCGCCTGCCTATCCTTTGCTATTGTATTGAAACTAGGAACTAAGCTATTGCTCACAGTTGATATTTCAACCAGATGTCACGGTCACTTTTGTAAACTAAATCAATTTGCGACAGATAAGTATACCTTGAAAATTCTTCGTTTTTAGCAAATTCCAGATGTGTATTTCGTGAGATTCTTGTAGGTACCTTTAAGCATGATGTTCTATTGCCGACAAAATTGCTTCGCGTCGTGCCACCGTCCCGACGCCACGACACGACGTTACGACGGCTCCGTCACGTCGCCTGTGATTGTATAGTTTTATACGTACTGTCGCGTCGTGTCGTCGTCCGTCGTATTGTGCCGTCGTGCCTTCCGGTTTCTAAAAATGGCTGGTGATTATCACGGCCAATAGAGGGCCTATGTAACAAGTCCTGAAAAAAATAATGTGCGTGCATGGGGCACGGACGTACAGCATATTATAAAATCTGGACTCGTGTAGGGTACAGTCCACTAATTCAAGCCCCATTAAAAACAGTGTAAAATCAGCACTGTTCAGGGCCCAATAACATGCACACCAACATTAGTTATTCCCACAAAACAAAATCACCCCCAAAAAGTGATTTTTCCGGAGTCTGATTGCACCCATTTTTCAAGTGGCAACCCTCAACTTTCTTGGGCACTTAGGACCATTTTTCAACCGTAGTTTTTAGCCCTTCTGCTCTCATATGAAAGCTCGAAGACCCAGAGAGTTGATCCTGGCAAGGATTTACACAATCTCACCATTTTGGGGGCCAAACAATCTCCTTTTTCAAAAGATACTGTTGGTGGGGGCACTTTTAATGCTAATGAGCTGGCCAGAAATTCTCACTTGAATTAGTGGTCTGCACCCCGCAACTCTTTCTTGAAGCCACTGGAGGTTGTGTGGCGGCCATTTTATCGTGCCAAATGTTTTTAAACAAATCAACACTAGCCTATGGAAGACTGCCACGATTTTTTATTTATTTTATTATTTTTTTGGGGGGGGTCGTAAATATTCAACTATTTCAGTGCACTATACAATTATTGCCGGAGAATTTTGGTAGTGATTAGTAGGAACAAGCTTTTGCAGATGATCTTTGTGTCTATTAATGATCACCAAGGAAAAAGTGAACTTAAGCCCAGAGCTCAGTGAAAGCGATTGCTGATGTACATGTACAACTTTAAAATGGAGAAAATTCCTTTTTATTTTACCATAACTAAGACCGACATGAGACATGCATGAAAGTGACATTTTCCAGTGTGGGCCAGCAGTTGGAAAGTAAAGTAGGCAATTCATAAAAAACTAATACAAAGCCAGCCAAAAAAATCATTTTTTTTCTTAAAAAATGTTTATAAAGTGGGGTCAGTAAATGGGGTCAGTATTGGGATAGAAACTTGTCTTTGATGCAATGCCATTAGGTCTAGTCGTGCTAAATCGCCAGCGAGCCTTGCACGTGAAAATAACCTCTATTCAGTTCGGCGGGAGAACTGTGAAAAATGTTGGGCCATAATTCACGTTTTCCTCGATGATTGCACGGGACACGGGCATCATCTGCAAGAGTTATTCCTTTTACTCGCTGTACCCGTAACCCCCGGGCAGTAATTGAATGCGGTGCACTGAAATTATTGAATATTTTCGACAAAAATATCGTGGCAGTCTTCCATAGGTTAGCGTTGATTAGTTTAGAAACTTTCGGCACGGTAAAATGGCCGCCACTCTACTTCCGATAGTCTCAAAGACGTCCGCATCACGAATGTTGCATTGCGGGTCCAGGTTTTATTATAGACATCCTTGGCATATAGGGCTAACAAGATATGATGGTATCTTTTTGCATGGAAGTTAGCTCCGTCTGTAAGGGCGCCCCCTATTTCCACCTGTAATGAGGCGACGGCGAGAGCACGAGGCGACAGCACGACGCGACGGAGCCGTCGGACGTAGCGTCGCGTCGGGGCGACGACACGACGTGACGCAATTTTAGAACAACTTTATTGAATTGCCCCACAAGGACAACGAACGTTCCTTGGGGGAACTTCCCATTGTTCTTGAACCACCCCACCCCAAGACACCATAAACACGAGCACACAAACGAGACTCGAATCAACCCATACACAAGCTCCACCATGCAGAACGTATCTTGTGTCCGTTGGAAAAACATATGTTTTTTTTCTATAAATTTCTTTTACAAAATTGTTAGTGTTTCGATTGGAATTGTGATTAGCATCTCTACAATACAAGGGCAGATCCAGAACTGAGCTTTTGGGGACAAAAATTTGGAAGTTTTTCAGATAACCTTTTATGGCCTTTTTTGGGGTGGAGCTATGGGGGAGGGCTTTTACATGCTTTGGGAAGAAAAATAATTGAAAATAACCAAACGCTCGCCTTTCTTTGTCTTTCATCCATTTTGTAAAATTGTGGCTCTTTTTGGGGGAGGAGGGGAGCATGGTCCCACTTGGTCACCCGGATCTGCCCTTGTTACAATGGTATCAACCGTCGTCTCGACAGCAGAACAGCGAATGGATGATGTAACCGGAACTCCTTTTCCAGAGACCGTACTTATGAGACCGAGATCTCTCCAGCAAGACGAAATCGGCAGAAATAGGACACTGGAGAGCTCCCAATTCGCCCGCTGTGAGTCAACATTCTGCCGCAAACGCGGAAGAGCAAACAATCTGAATTGCAGTCGAGGCCGAACAACAGCGGGCCGAGTCAACACGATCAGCGCTTGGCCAAACCAATCACAAATTATCCAGACCGGGCATTAGCGGGAAAACGTGCTATTGGTACGAGTGAAATTGGTTTCTAGAATTAAAGGCGAAGAGATAAGCGTGTGCTCAAGACCCAAAGGCGTACATGCAAGTTACGAGGAAACATTGTTGAGACATTTTGTTTATATACACAAATACCCTAACAACCTTAATACGTAGGCATGCAGAAATGACCTTAAGAGCGCATACATCTTGATGTGCTGGAACACAGTGTTGAAATGGTAATTCCCAGTACGGAAATCGATCACAGAGAGCAAACGAACGTATGGCGTAAACACCGCTCAAAGTAAAACGTTAGACTACCTAAGCTCGTTGAGAATGATGTATTGATGCATCTGGCCAACA